CCTTTAAAGCCTGTGGACATCATCATAGGTTTCATTTTAAAGATTCAGCATATTAAACTGATGTGGTTTATAGCCCTGCAGAGCTTTCCATATGGGCCACTTTTTTTTTTTAAGTTCAAAAGGCAGCATTAATGTTTGCCACTCTTCCAGGCTAAGTGTTTAGGGAAGTTCAAGTGTTATTAAGAATGATCAATTTCAAAATACCTTTTCTTTTCGTTCCCACACAATCCACACAGTTGCTCTAGTCAGATAGCTTGAGGGAAGCCTAACTGAAGTGATGATAGTAGATTTCTCCATGAGTTGGAACCCAAGATATTTTACTTTGTTTTCAGTTTCTCTCTGGAGGAAAACTATGACATATTTTTGTAGTGTGGCAAAACAGATAGAAATGTTTCGCAATTTACTTCGTAAATTTCAAGTACCCTCGGGTTTTTTATTCTATCATATTTCAGTATTAAGATTTCTTTTCCTCTCCTGGATTTTGGTAGGTTATGTTGAAATTCAGCAGGCGGTATGGGGAACCCAATAATATGCTTAGGCTTTGAAGTCATCCCTGACTCTTTTCTATTTTATTTCCCATATCTAATTGGTCCTATCAGTTCCCCCTCTGAAATTTGTCCAGAACTTATTTCTTCCTCTACATTCCTGCTGTCTTCATTCAGGCCTTTTGATCTTTTGCCTAGATTATAAAAAAACAAGTTTCACTCACTGGTCTTCCCGTCTCCAACCTACACTACTCAAGCCACCCTCCACACTGCCAAAAATTCTCTAAAACTCAAATGTGATCATATCATTCCTCTGCTTTTAAGTCATTTGATGGTGCTTTGGTTACAAATGAGGTCAAAAAGTGTACACAATCTGGACCCCACCTAGATTTCTAACTAGATCTCCTCCTACCCTAGCCCCTGCAGTCTTCCTTCTTGCTCCAACTGCCACCATCCTTCCCACCCCAGGGGCCTTAGACCTCAAACATGCAGACTCTGTTTCTTGAATATAAAAGGCTCTCTCATGCTGCTGGACCTTTACCTGTGTTACTCTCCTTGCCAGGAATGTCTCCTCATTCAACAGTTAGGGAGTAGCAAGGCACACTAGGTAGAAAGACAGGGAGGTGAGGAAAAAAAGGGAATCGAAGAGCATTATTAAAACAGCACAGTGCTAGGCTCATATCTGGGTGTTCCATAAGTATCAAATGAATAAGTGAATGAATGAATGAATGCACTGCTGACCACAGGTGCAGGCTGCAGAGGCAGGGAAGTGAGAACAGATGGACTATGAGAACAGTCCTCCGTGTTTTTCTGTTACTCAAACTCTTTTTCTATTCCCTCCACCTTCTTTCAGATCTCCATGTTTATGTTTCTTCTAATTTACAGACTACTATAACACTACCTCAGATGCATTTAACCATGCTATGCATAATTTATTTATTCATTCCTCATAAATCAAGCCCTCTAGCCATCTGGAAAACAAGAACCACTTTTATTGCCTTTCAAGCCCCTTCTCGCTAATCTTTTTAGTGCGTGCTATTGTGCCTGGTACAAAATGTAGTATTTTATGCAGTTTCACCTCTGAATATCAAGGACATTGTGACCTTTTTGTTGTTGTTTTCTTTATTAGGAAATCCCATGTGAAAACATTAAATAAAGTAAGAGCAATTAGAAAGCAAAGCAAGAAAGTTATATCACTACAGAGTGGGCTATAAGTGGGCTGCTTTTCATGTGTGTTTCATGAAAAGCAGCCTCATTATTTTACGGTTAGACCTTGTAAACTAGAAGCAGTAGTTCTCCTGTAAAGGCTAATGAAAAGCGATGAAGGACTATTCACGTGAAAACACATTCTACAGTCATAGGTAATGTCAAAATCTCATTCTGCTTCAGTTTTCTAGTCTATGAAATGAGAATAATACATAGTCACTTGCCCCAATCATCTACTGAGAGCAACATGAACACACAAAGTACTTTGCAGTTATAGATGATGGATACCATTTTCTATTAGAAGTAATGCCACTCTGGTTTAACCAGAAGGCTTTAAGTAGAGGTAGCCAATGTAAGTTCATGAATCCCCCTAACTGACCACTTCACTAAAGTCGGTGATTGGTATAACTGACTCAGGATGGTTATGACTACACCTAAGCGGAAGCAATATGCTAACACAGTTCTCTTTTGTAGAAGTAGGCAGATGACTACCAAATACTATACCATCAGTACCTTTCCTTTATGAACTTTAAATTCAGGGGCCCTCTCCTACTGTCACTTTCCTGACATATCTTCCCCAAGGCAAATTCCTTGTTATTCTTTTTAACCTGTGGCTTTTATACTGGTATGTTCACCCCAAATTAGTCACCTCCTCAGAGAAACCTTCCCTGACCTTCCTAACTAAAGTGTCATTCCCCAGTTATAATCTATTGTTATTCAGTTTATTTCCATCCTAGTACTCATCATGATGGGTAATTAACTAAGTAACCTTTTTACTCGTTTACTGCCCTCCCCACTTAGATCTAAGTTCTAGGTCAATATTTGTCTTAATCCCACCACTGTATCCCCAGTGCCTAGAATAGTGCCTGGTTCACAGCAGGTGCTCTAAAACTATTTGTTGAATGAATTGATGAAGGAGTTTCATCCTTACAGTGACAATAAGGTTAATTCAAACTTATTAGCATGACATTCAAGGCCCTGACTGTAAGATTCTCTGAGCTGGCCGCACCATGGTCAAGCCATTGTGACATTCCCCCACCCTTGTGATAACATACTTTGTGATATTCCCCATCCTTGTGAATGTACTTTGTAACATCCTCCCCACCCTTGAGAATGTACTTTGTAACATCCATCCCCTGCCCGCAAAAAAATTGCTCCTGACTCCACTGCCTATCCAAAACCTGTAAGGACCAATGATAATCCCACCATCCTTCGCTGACTCCTTTCTCAGACTCAGTCCACTTGCATCCAAGTGAATAAACAGCCTTGTTGCTCACACTAAGCCTGCTCAAGTGGTCTCTTATACAGATGCACGTAACACCAACTAAGCTATCCGGACTTATATTCTGCCTTTTTATACCTCCATAGATTCTGCCTGTTGATATCTCTGTAAAAACATACTTTCTGCCTGAAGCATTCTTCCTACCAAATAACTAATCTTTCAAGACCTCACTCCAAAACACCTTCTCTATGAAATCTCCAGTCCTTCGCAGACACATCCACACATGAAATGCTTATTCTGCTAAATTCCTATAAGAGCTATAGAACTTATAATACAGGGTTTTAGCAATAATAATAAAATAATGATACTGAACATGTTATTGAGTACTTAACTCTATGCCAGGTATAGTTATAAGCACTATATATGTATTGTCTCATTTAATCCTGAAAATAACTCTAAGGGGTAGGAACTATCATAAGTATTTATGTGGCTATTTAGCTAGCTATAATCAACTTCATGAAGGCAGGGATGGTATCTTCAAGCCTTGCTAATTCCCAGAGCTCAGCAAAGTGTCTACAATGTCATATGTACTTATGTTGAGTTTGCTAAATAATGAATTTGACAGCAGTTCCTTGTCCTCTGTCTACTTTGACAATGGCAACCCCAGTTAAAGAACCAGACAGAGTTTTAAAGTAACTATACAAATGTAATCTTAAAGTGATACTGTCCTTTCTAAGTACAATAAGGAATTCAGAAGTCATAAAGGAAAGGGGCAATATACATGGCTATATAAACATTTTAAATATCTGTAAATTTAAAAAAACAAAGTTAAAAGAGACAAACTAGAAGTGGATAAAATACATTAAACTGACATCAGACAAAAGAGTAATAATAGTATATGAAGGACTCTGATAAATAAATAAGAATAATCAGCCCATTAGAAAAATAGGAACATCACATGAACAGGAAACTTCCAGAGAAAGAAATCGAAATGGTGTGTAAACATATAAAAATATGCTCAACCTCATTAAGTAAAAAAATGAAAATTAAAATGCTGAGATCTATTTATCCTATCATATTGTAAAGATAAAGAATGGTAATGTCAGCACTGGTAACTTTGTGGGGAAATAGGCACTTTCATACACTCATGTGACAAAAATGCTCTCATATGCTTAGAAGAGATGGATACAAGGTTGTTCGTTGCAGCATTGTTTGTAACAGCAAAAGATCAGAAACAACTGAAATGTGCATCAACAGAAGCTTGGTTAAATAAACCATGGCACAAACATACCATGAAACTGTATGCAGCCATTGAAAAGAATATGTAACTAGGTAACCAGATAACCAAGGAGGGGGATTTTAATTTTACAAATGTATTCCAGTTAATAAAAAATCCAGTTATAGAAAGAGGAAAGGATTTCAACATACACTTCATCAGACAGTAGATAAGGTGGGCAGATATGCACATGAAATGCTATTCAACATCATTAGCCATTAAGGAAATTAAATTGAGACAATGATGAGATAACACTACCTACGTATTATAATAGGATGGCCAAAATACCAAGTGCTGTTAAGGGTGCAGAGCAAGTAGGACTCTCATACATAGCTAGTTCAGATGCAAAATGGTACAGGCACTCTGGAAAATGGTTTGTCAGTTTCTTATAAAGTTAAACATATTTACTATATGACTAAGTGATCCTACTCCTGGGTATACTACTGAGCAAGAAAAAGAAATGAACAACTTAGATAAATCTCCAAGGCACTAATCTGAGTGAAAGCAGTCTCAAGAAGTGACATACTATGTGATTCCATGTATATGACATCATTGAAAAGAAAAAAAACTATAAGGACAGAGAAAAGATCACTGGTACGGGGGTTAGGGAGGAAGGAGGTCTGACTGCAAAGGAGTGGCAAGAGGGAATTCTCTAGGGAGCTGAATTGTTCTGTATCCTGTCAGTGGTGGTAGTTACAATAATCTAGCCATGTGTTAAAAACTCACAGGACTATGTGCCAGAAAATAAATGAATTTTATTGTACATAAAGTAAAAAAAATTAAGATAAATTATCATCACCAATAATGATACCTCCTACTTCTCGGTCTAAGGGAGGAACATCATCTCTCATGGAGAAATCCATAGCGGTTGCTGGAATGTCCATCAGGTCTTCATCACTGGAGCTGTTCTGGAAGCTACTAAAACTCCCCTGCTGAAAGCCTCTGTTATCCATGGCACCTGTGCAGAAAGAAAAATAGGAGGCTTATAACAATTATCTTCAAGTTCCTTACATGTAATGTTTGCCATCTGAACCATTTTGAAGTATACAATTCAGTAGTATTGAGTACACTTACCATCACCACTATCCATTTCCAGAACTATTTCATCATCCCAAACAGAAACTCTGTACCCAACAAACAGTAACTCCCCATCCCCCAGGCCCTGGTAACCTCTATTATACTTTTTGTCTCTATAGATTTGCTAATTCTGGATATTTCATATAAATGAAATCACACAATATGTGACACTTTGTGTCGGGTTTCTTTCACTTAGCATAATATTTTCAATATCCATCCATGTTACAGCATGTATCAGCACTTCATTAATTTTTATGGCTGAGTATTATTTCACTGTATGGATAGACCACATTTTATCTATTCATCAGTTGATAGACATCTGGGTAATCTTCACCTTTTGGGTTGGGACTTAGTCTTATGTCTTCTTTCATGCTATATAAACTAAATATATTCAGTTATCCTCTAGATATAATGTACCTCTAGCATTACCATGTAGTTGATGGCAATATTTGAGAATCATTCAAATGAGTATAAAACCAAATGAGGGCACATGTACAAATGTAACGGTAGTTCACAAGTAATCAACTGAAATAAAAACTAGACATCAGTATTGAGAAACGTGCTGGCCATTTGGGAATGGGAAAAAAAAAAAAACATTATCTTATTCTTCTGACTCTCCCAGATGTCTTAATACAGTGTACATGCACAGAAATACTAGATGACTGACATGGGGAAAAGAAACATAGTGTGCCATTCAATGCTGTTCTTAAGAATTCAATATTAAAGATGAAAAATGTTCTTCATCCCAAGTGTAATTTTTTCAGATTATAAATTTTACTTAAAAATATTAGTATACTGATTTATTTAGTTTTTAAAAGCATTATGGCCAACTTTACGTAGGTCCACCCTCCCTATTTTTTAAAGGAAATCTTAGTCAAAAATCATAGCCAGCAAAGTTCTATTACACAAATATTATTTGTTTTAAACTTTCCAACTCTTTTAAGAAACTTCTTGTCCTAGGTTGTCAGAACTAAGTGTGATAAATGTGGTAAAAAACCAAATAGGATAAATTAAGTAAGAGGCCTAAAAAGTAGGCCTTAAATATTCAGCAAAAAGGAGAAAGAACCAACATTTACCAGGTACTTGTCAATTTCTAGGCACTGGGCTATGTGGTTAAAATGAATTATTTCCTTTAATGTTTCCTACATTCCTATGCTATGGCATTATCACTCCTAGTGCAGATAAGGAAACTGAAAGCTGCAAAAGGCTAACTTGCCCAGTTCGTGTTGTTTTTTTAAAGTTAAGGTCCAAATCATGTGTTCAATTTCACAATACCTCATTTGTGATAAAGAGACCAGCTTGACTGAAGTGTGAGTGACATTTATGAACACCTACTATGTATGAATCATCGTGGGATAGTGGGTCAGATACAAAAATGATGCTGGATAGGCCAGATGAGATGAAGACTGAGAGGCAAAGACTTGGGAGTTAACAACATCAAGGTGATGATTAAAACCAAGAAAACAGATACCCCAAGGGAAATTTCCTGTATAAATGTTTGAGGTGATAGATATGCTAATTACTTTGATTTGATCATTACACAAAGTATACATGTATTGAAACATCACACTGTACCCCATAAATATGTACAATTATATATCAATTTAAAATAAAATTTAAAAAGAAATGCAATAATGTTCTTCTTTAGCATGCACAAGTAACTTGAAATCTGTGCAAATGTGAACTAAATAATAGGTTATACTGGAACACTACCATGCATACATGATGATATATGGTCAGGTAGGGAAGGATACAAAGTTACCCCAAGGTACTAATAATGTACAAAATTATTGACCATAAAACCATTTCCTCAGCTACAAAAGCTAACCTTGATGTGTGGATCAAATGGGTGCTGGGATACTAAGAAGCCATGTTTTATAGTCTCAGCCAAGCTCCCTTGCTGCTCACCAATCCAAACTTGCTGGACTTTTCTGCCCTTCATTATCCTGCTTTCTTCAATCCCTTTCTCCTGAGAGGACTCTCTCAGTAAAGGACTCACACCAAATCCTGTCTCTGCTTCTGCTTCTAGGGAACCAGGCCTAATACAGGATTGTTAGCAGGTTTTTCCTATTACCAACAACACACGAGAAATTGATTCCGTCTGTCTTCTCGCCTGTCATTCAGGAAGAAGTGCCTTTACTTTTTATTTAAGAAAAAAAAATCAGCCGGATGCTCACACCTGTAATCCCAGCACTTTGGGAGGCCGAGGTGGGCGGATCACCTGAGGTCAGGAGTTCGAGACCAGCTTGACTAACATGGTGAAACTCTGCCTCTACTAAAAATACAAAAATTAGCCAGGCATGGTGGTGTGTGCCTGTAATCCCAGCTACTCATGAGGCTGAGGCAGGAGAATCACTTGAAGCCAGGAGGCGGAGGCTGCAGTGAGCCGAGACTGTGCCACTGCACTGCAGCCTGGGTGACAGAGTGAGATTCCGTCTCAAAAAAGAAAAAGAAAAAAGGCCGGGTGCGGTGGCTCACGCCTGTAATCCCAACACTTTGGGAGGCCAAAGGCGGGTGGATCACGAGGTCAGGAGATCGGGACCATCCTGGCTAACACAGTGAAACCCCATCTCTACTAAAAATACAAAAAATTAGCTGGGCGTGGTGGCGGGCGCCTGTAGTCCCAGCTACCCAGGAGGCTGAGGCAGGAGAATGGTGTGAACCCGGGACGCGGAGCTTGCAGTGAGCTGAGATCACGCCACTGCACTCCAGCCTGGGCGACAGAGCGAGACTCTATCAGAAAAGAAAAAGAAAAAGAAAAGAAAGAAAAGAAAAGGAAGAGAAAAGAAAAGAAAAGAAAAGAAGAGAAAATTTCATTCTGTGTTGATGTTGGTCAGATGAAGAGTGCATCCAAAGCATCTTTACTTGGGCCTTTGGGCACATGTTGGCTCATATAAGTTTATTTTCTTTTTTAATGATGAAACCATTTTGTCTGCCTTACAAATAACTGTACCTTATAGTGAATATTGCAACACACAACATGTATAAGATCAGCAAACATTGTTGGGTAATATTTAAACAACATTTGGATCTCCTAAGCAAGGTTAAACAACACCACACAGAATCACATAACAAAACTGCCAATATAAGGGCCTGTTTCACTTCTGAAGCTTGTTATTTCTTGGAACACCACTCATAGGATCTATATAAAGTATACTATGCATATAAACATATTACTATTTATCTTTTTTTTTTTTTTTTGGTTTGTTTTTGAGACAGGATCTTGCTCTGTCACCCAGGCTGGAGTGTGGTGGTGCCACTACTGCTCACTGCAGCTTTGGCTTCCCAGGCTCAAGCAATCCTGCCACCTCAGCGTCCCAAGTAGCTAGGACTACAGGTGTGTGTCACTGTGCCCAATTAATTTTTTGTTTTGTTTTGTTTTGTTTGTTTTTGCAGAGATAGGGTCTCACTATTTTGGCCAGGCTGGTCTTGAACTCCTGGACTCAAGCAATCCTCCCACCTCAGCCTCCCAAAGTGTAGGGATTACAGGCATAAGCCACTGCACCCTACCTACTATTTATCTCATTGAAAGAATGACTCACTGTTAGCAGCAGACAGGACCATGGACATAAACATACAACATGTAACAGCTATAACTAAGGGTAACTAATTAAATCATGACTTTCTTTTTTATAAGCCCCTGGACCTCTTCCTGGAAATGTTGACCTCAACCTTTGACTCTATGCATCAATGTTTTCTGTTCTTGCTTTGAACGTAACATCAGCAGCTTCCTTCAAACCAGTAACATTTCTATGTTGATTGCTAATTTGCTCCCACTTTCCCAATTTCTCAACTGATTTTTGGGGAGAATCAAAATTTGGAAAAACATAAACTTCCTGAAAAGTGCTGGAAGGAATACCCATATGTAATTGCTACTTGGAACAGATCCTGTTCCATGATTATGAGGTCCATGATCCTGACACTCTTGAAGATTACAGGCCAATTATTTTGCAGACAATATCTCAATTTTGGTTTGTTTGATGTTTCCTCATGAACAGACTCAGGTTATATACATCTTTGGCAATATATCAGAGAAGTGACATTGTGTTCTTCTGTTTGCATCCTGTTAGAGGGCACATACTTTTTATTTGCCCCACTAATGATGATACTTACTTGATCACTTGATAAAAGTGATATCTTCCAGGTCTTTACATTGTTAATATATTATTTGTCTCTTTGTAATAGTGATTATTTTATGATGAGGTACTTTGACACTAAGTGTTTACATTTCTTATAAAACATTTTCATTCGATCATTTATTTATATATACATAAATCCTAATTTTTTCAATGGGTTATAATCTATTGCTATTGTTTTCATACTCAAATTTTCCAAACTTGTCCAGTGGGAACCTTTTCAAACTGGCTTCTATGTTCTTTTGACATATCCCCATCATGCTTTGAGAATTTCCTTAATTTGTCACAAAAGACATTCCAGACTCATCTTGTATTTTCACGCTCCATCTCCAAAATCAGCCATTTCTCCCAGAAACTCTGAGTCCTTTTAGTTGGGGGTGGTATTTAAAAGACATGATCTGGGTGCTCATTGTTATTCAGGGTTGCTGCTCCCCACTGGACATAGGTAGGGAACACACACACACTTTCACATATATTTTCACATCCACCTATATATATTGACAACATATGTTTTACATATATGAATATTTACACATATGAAAAATGTAAGTTTTCACTTATATCTCTGATTCCAATCCAACATAACAAGGCTCAATCTAGTCTTTTCCTGTATCTGTACCTTCCCCTTCATTAACAATGAGAAATCTTTTAATTTTTTTACTTTCTTGAACAACTCCCCTGTATATAACCAGTCTCCTATCTTTTCCTCAACTCTTCTCTGCACAGATGCTGTCCTCATACCTGT